CGACCACTGGTTGGTCGTCAAGTGACGCCTGGCCCAGCGAGGGGCTCAGGAAACTTGCGTAAGTCCCTGAGATGGAGGAGCGCAACATCGGAACGAGGGACAGAACATCATCCAGCAACGTCCCAAACAAGTCTTCCAGAGTGGGAAGCTAAACGTCCGGAGTGGAGGGTGAAAGCCTCAGGAGCATTATACATATCATTCCTCTTCCTCCTCCTCCTCCTCCTCCTCCTCCTCCTCCTCCTCCTCCTCCTCCCCCTCATCCTCACCATCATCCTCATCCTCATCCTCATCCTCATCATTTTCCTATTCCTCCTCCTCTGCCTCCTATTCCTTCTCCTCCTCCTCCTCCTCCTCCTTTGCTCCTGCTCCTCCTCCCCCCCCCCCGGGTCCTAGTTGGTCCCCCCCCCAGGTCCTACTTGATCCCCCCCCCTTCTCGCCCCCCCTCCCCATCTACCCCTCTACCCCCTCTACCGTGTCCGTCGGGGGGGAGGAGGGGGAGGAGGAGGACGAGGAGGAGGAGGAGGAGGAGGAGAAGGAGGAGGAGGAGGAGCAGAAGGAGGAAGAGGAGGAGGAGGAGGAGGAGGATGAGGAGGAGGAGCAGGAGGAGGAGGAGGAGGAGGAGGAGGAGGAGGAGGAGAAGGAGTGTTGGACAGCCGCGACCGCATGGGTCCCCGCCGCTCCTCTCTGCTAGAGGAAAGTCCGAGGCGGGCGAGCGCGAAACACGCCCGGCGCGCGAGGATGTCTTGCGCCGTCGTGCGCGCAGCGCGCTGTGAGATTTCATACGCTCCTTGCTCTGAACATCCCGAGGCAGGCGGGCGAGGGGATGGGCGAGGCGCATGTGCTGATCACAACGGATGGGAGGCGGCGGGAGAGGGGAGAGACTGGGAGGGGAAGAGGAGGCCTTCGAACTGGTGGCCACTCGACTTCGTTCGATGCCCTTCTCGCACCATCGCCCACGTCCGCCATCACTTCCGCGTCATAGTCAAAACACCAGCCTTTTGCTTCGCCCAACCTCCGATGAGCCCGCCGCTTGCCACCTGGCCTGCCCGTCCTGTCCCTGCCCGTCTCGCGCCTCTTCTGCCGCGCACCTTCCGTGCCTGTTCCCCTCTCCCGCTCGTGCCACCTCCTCTGCCGGCTACGATGTGCCTCCCAAGCTCGGTCGCACGACAACCCTCCGCGACAACGCCCGAGCATCTCCTCCAGCCGGCGGAGAAGGTTCACGTGGTCGGAGATGGACGCCTGCTCCTGGCTGGTCATCACCGTGCCACCACGAGGAGCGCCGAATGATGGAGGGGGCGCTTCTGGCCACGGCTTTCCTCGACCGCAAACAGGCTTCCCGACCCAAACCGAAGGAACGACCCGGAAGCCAGAGCCCCTCCTGAGCCCGAAGTGGTCCTCATCTCAACGTTTCGACTGTGCATCCTACCTCCTCGGGCCCGTGGGGCTGGACCCTCGGCAGAATTTGTTCGTGATGCTGGCCAGCACTTCGGCAGCTGCGACGCTGGAGATCCGCTGTCGGGATCCTACAAGACGCGCGCGCGATAACAGTGCTAATTTGAGTCTGGCTCTCGCCTGCTATCTCTTCCCTGGGATCTACCACGGGGGAGCTCAACGGCAAACATACTCTTGCTGTACCAAGCGTTTTCTTGTGCGAATGGTGATGTCCACTGAGCACTCGCAATCATCTAATTTAGACTGGCTGCGAGACCCTGAGAAGCCCAAATGCCGACCTACCGCATGAGTCACAGGCCCTCGTGCACTCGTGCCCTCTGCAGCCCTCTGCGCAACTACCGACGCACCAGCTCACCTAGGCCCAGCATGCCCTCTGTGAGTCCGCCGCAGGCGGGACGAAAACGGCCTGTCAATATAGGTCGGTGGGCGTGTGCACAATGCTTCAAAACGTGCTCCGAGACCCATTTGCGGGCGAGTCCCTCTCGTTGCACGCGGGCCATGCGAAGTGGAGCTTCCGCCAGCTCGCCCTTCTGATCCCTTCCGCCTCTGTCTCCTCTGTCTGCCTGCTGCTCCTGCTCCTCCAAGCCTTCTCGCGCGAGCTCCCCAAACAAAATTAAGTCGGAATCAATATCCCCAGGCACCGCTTGTTCAGCCTAGGTGGTTCCCAGGAGTTTCGCGCGTCCCCCTGCTCGTAAACGACCTGCGCCTTCGGCGTCGTTTGTGAGGTTTTCCTTGTCGTCGTCGACGCCGCCGCCGTCGTCGTCCTTGTCCTCCTTTTCCTTCTTCTCCGCATATATCCGCATCCGCGCCATGATCCTTCTCTTTCTCGCCATCCTCCTGTCACTACACCTCACCCTCCTTCTCCTCCTCTTCCTCCTCCTCCTCCTCCTCCTGCTCCTCTTCTCTTCATCCCGTTCATCCTCCGCCTCGTCCCGCTCCTCTTTTTCTGAATCCTCCTCATCCTCCTCCTCCTCCTCATCATCATCATCATCCTCATCATCATCCTCATCATCATCCTCATCATCATCATCATCATCATCATCAGCAT